CTGGTGTGCTGTGTGCCATGACGGTGTGCTGTGTACCATGCACGCCATGACTGTGTGCTGTGGGCCATGACTGGTGTGCTGTGTGCCATGACGGTGTGCTGTGTACCATGCACGCCATGACTGTGTGCTGTGGGCCATGACTGGTGTGCTGTGTGCCATGACGGTGTGCTGTGTACCATGCACGCCATGACTGTGTGCTGTGGGCCATGACTGGTGTGCTGTGTGCCATGACGGTGTGCTGTGTACCATGCACGCCATGACTGTGTGCTGTGGGCCATGACTGGTGTGCTGTGTGCCATGACGGTGTGCTGTGTACCATGCACGCCATGACTGTGTGCTGTGGGCCATGACTGGTGTGCTGTGTGCCATGACGGTGTGCTGTGTACCATGCACGCCATGACTGTGTGCTGTGGGCCATGACTGGTGTGCTGTGTGCCATGACGGTGTGCTGTGTACCATGCACGCCATGACTGTGTGCTGTGGGCCATGACTGGTGTGCTGTGTGCCATGACGGTGTGCTGTGTACCATGCACGCCATGACTGTGTGCTGTGGGCCATGACTGGTGTGCTGTGTGCCATGACGGTGTGCTGTGTACCATGCACGCCATGACTGTGTGCTGTGGGCCATGACTGGTGTGCTGTGTGCCATGACGGTGTGCTGTGTACCATGCACGCCATGACTGTGTGCTGTGGGCCATGACTGGTGTGCTGTGTGCCATGACGGTGTGCTGTGTACCATGCACGCCATGACTGTGTGCTGTGGGCCATGACTGGTGTGCTGTGTGCCATGACGGTGTGCTGTGTACCATGCACGCCATGACTGTGTGCTGTGGGCCATGACTGGTGTGCTGTGTGCCATGACGGTGTGCTGTGTACCATGCACGCCATGACTGTGTGCTGTGGGCCATGACTGGTGTGCTGTGTGCCATGACGGTGTGCTGTGTACCATGCACGCCATGACTGTGTGCTGTGGGCCATGACTGGTGTGCTGTGTGCCATGACGGTGTGCTGTGTACCATGCACGCCATGACTGTGTGCTGTGGGCCATGACTGGTGTGCTGTGTGCCATGACGGTGTGCTGTGTACCATGCACGCCATGACTGTGTGCTGTGGGCCATGACTGGTGTGCTGTGTGCCATGACGGTGTGCTGTGTACCATGCACGCCATGACTGTGTGCTGTGGGCCATGACTGGTGTGCTGTGTGCCATGACGGTGTGCTGTGTACCATGCACGCCATGACTGTGTGCTGTGGGCCATGACTGGTGTGCTGTGTGCCATGACGGTGTGCTGTGTACCATGCACGCCATGACTGTGTGCTGTGGGCCATGACTGGTGTGCTGTGTGCCATGACGGTGTGCTGTGTACCATGCACGCCATGACTGTGTGCTGTGGGCCATGACTGGTGTGCTGTGTGCCATGACGGTGTGCTGTGTACCATGCACGCCATGACTGTGTGCTGTGGGCCATGACTGGTGTGCTGTGTGCCATGACGGTGTGCTGTGTACCATGACTGGTGTGCTGTGTGCCATGGCTGTGTGCGGTGTGCCATGGCTGTGTGCTGTGTGCCATGAATGTGTGCTGTGTGCCATGAATGTGTGCTGTGTGCCATGGCTGTGTGCTATGACTGTGTGCTGTGTGCCATGGCTGTGTGCTGTGTGCCATGGCTGTGTGCTGTGTGCCATGACTGTGTCCTGTGTGCCATGGCATGTTGGTGGTGTGCCATGGCTGTGTGCCATGGCTGTGTGCTGTGTGCCATGGCTGTGTGCTGTGTGCCATGACTGTATGCAGTGTGCCATGGCTGTGTGCTGTGTGCCATGGCTGTGTGCCATGACTGTGTGCTGTGTGCAATGGCATGTGTGTGGTGTGCCATGACTGTGTGCTGTGTGCCATGACTGTGTGCCATGGCATGTGTGTGGTGTGCCATGGATGTGTGCTGTGTGCCATGACTGTGTGCTGTGTGCCATGGCATGCGTGCTGTGTGCCATGGCATGTGTGTGGTGTGCCATGACGGTGTGCTGTGTGCCATGACTGCGTGCTGTGTGCCATGACTGCGTGCTGTGTGCCATGACTGTGTGCTGTGTGCCATGACTGTGTGCTGTGTGCATGGCATGGGAAATATGAATTGCTGGGACCTTTCACATTTGTGTATGGAGAGTAGGGATGAGTTGAGTCTGGTTGTATTTAGGATAATTTAGTTTATTTTATCAAAGCAGAACTCTGGGAAAATCAAAACTGTTCCCTTGCAGTGGGGGTACCCCCAGACTGCAAGGGTTAAGTGCTCATTTTGTCTAAGGGAGTCAAATAAAGCAGATATACTCACCTGATCCTAAGTCTACTGGGCTGCTAGACTGGTCCCCACAGCCTCTCCTCCCCTGGGCTCTTGCGGTCTAAGGACGTCTTATGTAGGTCTAATTAAGAGACACTGCTTCCTGATCTCTAATGCTTCCTTTGTTAGGACAGACACTGTTCAAATCTTACAACTGATTATGAGATCTGTCAGCACAGTACAGCCCAGGTTAACTATGGTAAACATGAACTCCCAGCCCCATTTTTGACATTACAGAGAATGGAAAAACTCCAGTGGAATTTTTTTTTTAATTCAATGGAAACATGTTGCAGTTTTCAGAAAGGAGAAAGAAAAAATGTTTACTTTTTTTTTTCAACAGAAAGTAAAAAAAGAGACACAATGAAAAAAACCCTAAAAATAGAATACTATAAACCAACATTAAACAAATAAAGACTTAATAAACAAAAAACACCAATGGAAAAAAAAACCTATATGAACCTAAATACAAAAAACTAAAATAGATACTTACATTTAATAGAATAGATTTAATAATAGCCTCATTATTTTACTTTTTTAACAGAGAAAAAAAACTTGAAAAAAAATCAACAATACAGAAATAATGACTTAATAAGCAAAAAAAAAAGGAAAAACACCAATGCAAAAAAAACTAAAAAACCTAAATGAACCTAAATATAAAAAAAATGTATACTTACATTTAATAGAATAGATTTAATAATAGCCTCATTATACTTTTTTAACAAAAAAAAAGAAAAAAAACCCTAAAAAATAAACCAATAGTACACAAATAACTTAAAGGAGAACTATGGGGTTAAGGCTTTTCCCCATAGTTCTCCTTAGGGTAATGGGAGGACACAAACTAGCGTCCTTCCGTCTTCCTAGGCTCAGTATACCGCGAGCTGTAGCTCGCGGTATACTGAGACGCTGCAGCTGAAGCGGATCCCGACGATTGTGCCGGGATCCGCCCAGCTGCGTGACTGACAGCTGGCTCTGCCTATCTAGAGGCAGAGCCAGCTGTACCCGCCCCCTCCCCCGTCCGTTCCGCCAGTCAGCGCTGGAGGATCGGAGCGGGGAGGGGGGAATCCAGCCCCTCCCCTGTCACGGCAGAGAGCCGTGACAGGATCGAGAGGTGAGCGAACGCCGGTATGTGTTAGCTCACCTCCCGATCTACTAAGCCGGCCGGTGACAGTCTCATTGTCACAGGTCGGCTAGAACTATGAGGTGAGTGAAAAGCACTCACCTCATAGTTCTCCTTTAATGAAAAAGTTAAAAAACACAAATGCAAAAGAAAAGCCTAAACTACAAACTACCTAAAAAGCAGATATAGATTTCTAGATTTAATAGAAAAGATTTAATTTAAAAAAAAAATGTCAACTCTGATAATTGGATGTCTCAGCTTTGGTATAACCAGACATTTTGTAGTGAAACCAGTTTGGCCAAAATCACATTCCTAGATGAAAGCCCTCAAAATGTTAGTAAATAAAAGTTGAGAAATAAACAATTAAAATTGGTCTTCTGTCATAGTTTAAAGCACACGCCTGTTGTGAGAGGTAATCTACTAAACTAGAATTTCAAATGCAAAGGAGGCAGTTCAGTCAGTAGTAATCCAATAGAACTTTTTCTGGTTAAAACAGAGCAATTGTTGGCAAATGCCCCGGCCCATCCTTTGATGCACTGCAGGCAAATTGTTGGTGAACTGCATGGGGAAGGCTGAACTGCGTTGGGGTCAATGGGGAAGGCTAATTTAAAGTGATTTTTGGTAGTTGTTAAGGGCGAAATTGGCTTTAAATGGCTCCTGTAGGCTGTGGAAGCTCCTTTTAAATATCTTGGACCTGTTCTTGCGCTGAGGCTCTGCAGTGCATTGTGGGTTTCACTGATCCTGAAATTTGGATTCCCTGTGAGTCAGACCAAATTTCATGAATTTGGATGTTGAGCCAAATCTCAATTTCAGTGTAATTTTTATTCATAAAGATTTCAAAAAGGGAGACTGAAGGTTGCTCCGAAGACTGTTTCTGCCTTTTTCTGCTTCTACTGTTGCCTGAGCACCCTTAGCTTTACCACTAGTGCCACCAGGTCCAACCCTTCTATCTTAGTATCCCTGATAGGATTTCCAAAGGAAGTGGCTACGGCTCCCTCATCATCTCATCAGGTAGTTCTACTAGGATCTTCACAAACCATGATCTACAATGTATATGTATATACTTTTGTATCAAAAGTATATCATACACACTTTTTGGAGCCTGGTTGGTATTTCCTTTGACTTCAATGAGGCTTGTAGGTTGACAATTTGAATTTTGTAAGTTTTCAAATGTTGTAAAAGTTTGGTTAAACTATAACTGATCCAACGTCTCAGTTCTGTTCATCACTAGTTGTTCGATATAATGTGGCCATGCCTCGGGACTGACTATTAGATAACAAAATATGCATAAATCAGGGGCCGGTGGTTTTTAGAGGCCCCGTGGACTAGCAGCAGCGGATTGCAAGTGCATTCCAACCTGTGGGCGCCCACTTTACATCTGCAAAGATAGTTTAGTAGCTTGTTTATCATAACAGGTTTTAACAGACAATTGTTACAAGATGATAATAATAATAATAATCAGTATTCTGCATCCTGTTTTGCACACTGGCAGTTGACGCACAAATGTATTCTTGACTGCCCAGTGAAACCAATTATTTTCTTCCTTTGTCTTTCAGGCTCCGATTCCAAACACCAGACACAACGCCGTCTTCTTGAGGGACAATCCAAAGGCTGCACAGGTGATCCTGGCATCCCCGTATCACAACGGTGAAGATCTCAGAACTCAGGATAAAAGAGATGGGAATGAAGATCTTAAAGGGGACCCGCCACTTAAGAAGGTCCTCAACTTGGCTGAGAAATCCAGCACCAATATGGAGCCAGAAACCGATGCCGACAGATGAGCAGGTGATGATGGATAATTAGAGAATGACACCACCAAAATATTTCAACTGCTTACAGTAACAGGTTCACCTTTAAATACTCAATATACTTGGGATCTATTTCTGTAACAATACAAAACACAAAAATTTCCCAGCCTGCAACCAAACAAGTAGCCCTGTCAACAGTATGCGTTAAAATCAGAGGTTTTAGTTGCACAAACTTTTGGCCAAAAATATGTAGAAGCCACACTGCCGCGCCAAGGCACCTCTGCAAAGTGTGGTCCTAACTCTATGTATCCGAGTCTCCAAGTGTGAGCATATTAATGAAGTTGATAAATTACATGCAGGTGTACCTGGAGGTAGCCAACTCCTCCTGATAAAGGTGCAGGGACGCACTGGAGGCCCAGCAACCAAAAATGCACGCTGGACTCCAGTGCGTCCCCCTAACCCAAAATAGTAAAACTAGAAAAAATGGTACATGCATGAATCTATAACCGGCCTTTATAGCAGGGCGCACATTGGGAAGGCTTACAACAATACAAAACACAAAAACACAGGGCTACTTGTTTGGTTGCAGGCTGGCTGGCAGGCTGAGGCTGGGGAATTTTTGTGTTTTGTATTGTTGTAAGCCTTCCCAATGTGTGCCCTGCTATAAAGGCCGGTTATAGATTCATGCATGTACCATTTTTTCTAGTTTGACTATTTCTGTAACAGCCATCTTCTACTGGGGACAATTGGAGCTTTCTCCTCCCGTTCAACCGATCAGTTCTTAGGAAACTGCTGCTCATTGGTTGATTTTGTAGTCTTCACTGAGCATCTCAATGAAACTGAATTTATGGAGAGTCATGGATTATAATCTCAGTAAGAGCTGCTTTCAATATGTTAGTCATATGTCATATTTCTTGCACTCTGTAAAGTGTATTGAGCATTGAAAACAAAAAGCAATTGCAATTACATTTATTCATAATTATGTCTCTGGACTGTGACTAATTAAAGCAAAAGATTTCCAAAAACCTTTTTGTTTTGTTTTGGGTAGACCCCACTGTTGGGTATTACTGATATCTGGAACTCTGTTGATTAATCCCCCCCATTCCCGTTAGATGACCACTTTCAGCTTTTAATTGCGGTCTGTATCCCTTTTGCAAAGTTTGCTTAACTTCCTGTCTGGTGAAAGCATTATGAGCGGGACAGGAAGTGAGGGAAAATCTCTCTAATGCATTCTTGCCAACATTATGGTCCTGGATCCACGCACCACATCAGCCCACTTTCTGGGTGGGTGGGTCCACATCATGCCCACTTTACAGGTTGCTCTTGCCCCTACCCCACCACTAAATATGTGGAGATCACCCATCAAGTCAGCTTTTCAGGTTGGTTCTGCCCATATTCTGCCTCTATATATGTGGAAAACGCCCATTAGGTCCACTTTTCGGGTTAGTTCTGCCCATATCCTACCTACAAATATGTGGAGATCCCCATCAGATCGAGTTTTCAGGTTGGTTCTGTCCATATCCTGCCTCTAAATATGCAGAGATCACCCATCACGTCCACTTTTCAGGTTTGTTCTACCCGTATCCTACCTCCAAATACTGTATGTGAAGATCGCCCATCAGGTCCACTTTTCAGGTCAGTTCTGCCCATATCCTACATCTAAATATACGGGGATCGCCCATTAGGTCCACTATTCAGGTTGGTTCTGCCCATATCCTGCCTCTAAATATGTGGGGACCACCCAGTTGCACCCCCAAATGCTTTAATCTCTGGACATGGTCCAGGACACAGCAGCGGTGGAAGAGAAAGTCAAGATATGGGATTGTCTTAACATATCCAGGACAGTTAGAATGTATGCTAATGGAGCCCCAGTCAACAGTAAACCCGACAGGGGTTCTAATCCTTCCCCACACTGTCTAAAACCAAAAAAGACAGCCTGGCATACACTTTATTTTTTTACGAAGTCTGGAGCTGCTCTTTATCCCCAAGCCTTATGGTCATATCCGGGTTGATAGGTGTATCATTTGTACAGGTTGAATTATTTAACATGCTCTGTTTATAACTCTTCTGAAAACATGTAATAAAAGTAATAAATGTTTTATATTTTCATTGTGACCATTTTTTGTAAGGTTAAAGTACCGTGCACACCAACAACGTAGCAGATAGAGCACAGAGGCTGTCATAGCCTTGCAGCGCTGGAGATCTTAGATCAACACTTACCTAGGACACTGTCCATATGAGAATTCTTCTCCCTGAGATTTTGTGGGTTTCCACGCACAATCTGAACACATGTCATTTGACTTCCACTCAAATTGTTCCCTCTGCGTTTGTCCCTGTGTATGACCATAGCAGGGCTGTTAGAGTGCATGCTCCTTGGGGAGTAGGGACTGATGAATGTTCCAATGTAAACTGTTGCAGAAAATGAATACATTAATGCGATATAAATGAAAATAATAAATATATAACTTAATAAATATAATATTAGCAGTGAATTCAATCAGAGACTATCAGGTCCCTTTAGAACCCGAGGAAGGAGGATCTGTCATGACAGTTTTATGCTGAACTGCATTATTTATTGTAGAATTAGTTTTTTTTTTTATTGTTTGGCATTTCCTTTATTGTTTTATTGTTTCGCATTTCCTTTATTGCTTCTTTAACCAACACAACCTAAAAGGTGTAAGCAAGTAGGAATGACTCTATAATTTAACCCTTTCGCTGCCAAGCCCTCCGGAACATTTTTCAAATCAGCTGGCCAAGCCATTTTTGTATGTATAGCTTTTAAAAATATATTTTGCTTATTATTTTCAGGACTAAAAAAGGGCTGCTGTACAGGCTATTCACTATAGCCCGTACAGCTCCCACAGTTGGCCAAACAGCTCAGTCGAGCTGAAGGCATATTCCTCGGCTTGACTGAGCCGAGGTGAAAGGAGCAGCTGGCCGAACGGCCGGCCATTGGCAGGCCGACAGCCTGCTACTGACAGCTGGGAGGAGCCAGCTGTCATCTCACGACTGGCTCCGTCCACTTGCAGAGACAGATCAGCGCCCCCTGGGGATGCACCGATACCGTTTTTTTTTATATCGAGTAGGAGTACCAATATTTTTTGCGGTACTTACCGATACCGTATACCGATACTGGAAGTCCCATTAGGGAGGCATGTAATGACTCGACGCCCGGCTTCCCGATTAGCCAGGAGGCGTCTCCATGCTCCCTCGTCACCTGGTGCCGGCTTTCTGGCCAATCAGGAAGCCAGGTGACGGGAAATGACTCGCTGCCCAGCTTCGTGATTGGCCAGCTTCCCGATTGGCCGGGAAGCCGGCTCCACCTGAAGTTCTAGTATTGGGATAGGCATCGGGAGCATTTGGGCGTACTTACTAGTATTAGTGCAGACCCTGGAACTCAGCACAGGGATCGTGGGAGCCCTTCATAGTGGGCACCGCAGGTGTACAGATCCCAGGTACTTAGCAAGATCTACAATCTCTGTCAAGAGATAAAGCGTATGGGTAAAGGGAAAGTTTAATTTGCCATACCTTACATACCTTACTTTAGTCCAGGTGATATTTTTGGGTCTCTATGCTTCTCTATGCAATGCAGGCAAATAATGGCTGGTGGGAGGGGCAACCAGGGTGCTGTACATAGCTTCCAGAAAACAGCACAACACCCTGCCTCAGTACTCCTCACAAGAGCTGGTTAATTGGTTTGAGCCCTACTTGGAATTGGAAGCAGCTGCCATTCCAAATACAAGCATTGGGAAAAGAACGCTGAATGTTATTGCAACAGATTATATTATGCCCTGACGAAGGTAAATGTTGTGGAATGTCTGATTTTAGCACAGCAGTACGGTTTTCTGGAGAGCACTAGCATGTGCTGATTGTACTTTGCTGCTTGGAGTTGTCTGTTGAGGAGTCTGGCCCCTGTCATTGGGCCCCATATTTGGAGCAGCTTGATACATGAAGAACTAATAAAGGAAAACTGCGACCCTTACATTTTTGATTCTCCTGAATGTTTGCCTCATCTGCAGCAGGCAATCACATGATTCAGGAATGACCAAATTAATATGCCCACATAGGGTTGCCACCTTTTCTTCAAGTGCAACTCGAACAATAGTGCTGCATGCAGCAATTTTCAGGTGGCTATGGGGGCTCTCAGGTGGGCTATGCGAGCTTTCAGGTGGGCTATGCGAGCTCTCAGGTGGGCTATGCAGACTCTCTGATGGCTGTGTAGGGTCTCAGGTGGGCTATGCAGGCTTTCAGGAGTGCTGTGTGGGCTGTGTGGTGTCTCACCAGGGGTCCAGAGGCAGGCAGCATGGTATCAGGAAGACAGAGATGTTTATAGGCACCTGAGGTTCACAGGAAGGCTGCCGAGGTCCCCAGCAAGTACGGGACCTGGCAGCTCTTAGTGTCTTTTGTCTGGGTGTCAGCTGGCCTGAAACCTGGACACAGGACTCAAAAACTGGACTGTCCGGGTGAATCCCGGACAGGTGGCAACCCTATGCCCACACAGGATAGGGTTATATGCACAGTTTATTGGTTCCACATCAACAAAAACTACAAACCCAACAAAGAGGGGTAACAGGCCTGCAGATGTACAGCAGGCCTTGGGATACCAGAAGAGTGGTCAGGTACAAGCTGAGTCGTTAACAGGAGGGCAGCGCGGTACAGGAACAGGATTGATGAAGAGTGGTCAGGTGCAAGCCGGGTCGACAACAGGAGGTCAGCGTGGTACAGGATTCAACGGAGAGTGGTCGGGTAACAGGTTTTCAGATAGGACGCAAGGTTCAGGAAGCAAGGGCATCAGTCAGGTTAGCAACACAATACTGACCCAGCTTCCTGACTGCAGGGAGGGCCTAAATACCCTCCCAGGAAGCCCCAGGTGATGGGATGAGCAGTCACAGCTGGGGCACACCCGCAGGTGAGTACTGGAGCTGCAGGTTCCTTAAAGTTCCTGGCTGCTCGAGACACCCGCAGGCGAGCACAGGAACTGCAGGACCCGGCTCCAGCGCCACCTGGGGGTGCTCTGGATCCTGACAGTCACT